CATCAGCCTTGACCTCCCGGGCTCAAGCTGTCCTTCTAACTCAGCATCCTGAGTAGCTGGGACTATGGGGACACCGGGTTAATTTTTTTTTTAATTAATATTTTTTATTTTGGTATTGTGATATTTTTTTATTTGGTACAGTTAAGGGTTAGGTATACAAATATATTTTGTTCAGGCACCCTTGTTGATAAGGGGTGTCTCCCCCTTTTTTTTTTTTTTTTTTGAGTTGGAGTCACTCTGTCGCCCAGACTGGAGTGCAGTGGCCACTCCCGGTCACCGCAGCCTCGATCTGCTGGGCTCCGGCGAGCCTTCTGCCTCAGCCTTCCAAGTAGCTGGAACTACAGACGCACACTACCACGCCCGGCTTATTTTTTTTTATTTATTGTGAAGATGAGGTCTCGCCAAGTTGCCCAGGCGGGTCTCGAACCTGCGGGCTCAGGCAATCCACTCACCTCAGCCTCCCAAAGGCACGGGATTACAGGCTGAGCCACCGAGTCTGGCTTTTTTTTTTTTTTTTTTTTTTTTTTTTAAGATGAGGTTATGCTATGTTGCCCAGGCTGGACTCAAACTCCTGGGCTCAAGCAATCTGCCTACCTTGGCCTCGGCCTCCCAAAGTGCCGAGATTACAGTAGTGAGCCACTGTGCCTGGCCACGCCCAGCTATCTTTTATTTTTATTTTTTGTAGAGACAGAGTCTCGCCATGTTGCCCACACTGGTCTCAAAAGTCTGGGCTCAGGCAGTTCCCCCATCTTGGCCTCCCAAAGTGCTGGAATACAGGCATGAGCCACCACATCCAGCACTTTCTCCTCTTTATGGTAGGTTCATGACTACATATCAATTTGCCTGGTAGAAGGGAACACGGATTTGATGCTAAGTAGGAAAATATGAGGAAACTGATATTTTAAAAAATAAATAAAAATTATTTTATGGCTAAATTTTTTTTTTTAGCTCATTATAGTATCTGCAACAACTTATCCCACCACATTATTGTGAATTATTCCACATATAATTCAAGAATGGGAAATTTTATTTATTTATTTATTTATTTATTGGGTTGGAGTCTTATTCCAGGCTGGAGTGCAGTGGCACAGTCACAACCATTGCAGCCTCGACTTGCTGGGCTCAGGTGACCTTTCCACCTCAGCTTTCCAAGTAGCTGGAACCACAGGCGTGCACCATCATGCCCAGATAATTTTTTGATTTATTGTAGAAATGAGGTCTCACCAAATTGCCCAGGCTGGTCTTGAACCTCTGGACTCAGGCAGTCCTCTCGCCTCCACCTCCCAAAGTGCTGGGGCTACAGGAATGAGCCACTGTGCCCAGATAAGAACGGGAAATTTTAATATTAGCAATTTATCTATCTCAATCAAGTTATCTGTATACAGTATATGAGCAATTTCTGTTAAAGAGAGGCAATCTCTTGCTTTTTTTTCTGACTAAATGGATGCACAGAGGCCATCTCACAGTATGCTTGAAATAGTTGGAAGATAAAACTTTATTTTAGCATTTATATTTTTCCATCAACATTCTTCAAATCGATATATCATTTTAAATGCAGGCAAATGAGTTATACTATAATTTGCCTGTCAGAAATGATCTCAGCCATTGGAAAAGGGTATTTTTAGAATTTGTGAACAGAATTTTTTTTTTTTAAATAGTAATGGAAATAACCTAAAAGAAGAAATTCTGAATCAAGGTAATAACGAGACACTAAAAACAGTCTTACCCCCAAAGTGCTGATAGAATGCATAAATTACGAGGCTGCTTGGGGTAAGGTTGCCCCTACACATCTCAGGCTGAGGACTGAAGCTGTTGTGCTCTGGTGAATTGATCCCAGAGTTTTCTTCTGTGGCGTTATCTTGGGATTTTTTTCCTTCTGTGGTTTGACACTTGTGTGGTGGTTTGCTTCTCTTGAGTCATTTGATGACAGTTTTGTTAGGACACATTGCAGGAAGGTTCATCATTCTAGCTCATCAATAGAATAATCTTAGCAACCTCCTGTGTGATAGAGAACAGTGTAACTAAGATCAAAATAAGAAACCAGACACATTCATCATGGCTGTAGCTGACAAGGAAGGCTACAAACCAGAATGGTCTCTGAGAGGAGTTTACCAGATGAAGAGTGCACATTAATCAGTTGTGTCAAGGGTGGTTTTTGGGTTCTCAGCCAAATGCATGCTTAAGAAATCCAACAACAACAAAAGAACAGACATTTTTTTTTTTTTTGAGTTGGAGTCTCACTCTGTTGCCCAGGCTGGAGTGCATGGCCACCCTAGCATTAATCTGCTAGGCTCAGGTGATCCTTCTGGCTCAGCCTTTCAACTAGCCGAAACTACAGGTACATGCTACCACGCCTGGCTAATTTTTGATTTATTGTAGAGATGAGGTCTTGCCAATTTTCCCGGGTTGGTCTCGAACCCGCGGGCTCAGGCAGTCTACTCACCTTGGCCTACCAAAGTGCTGGGATTACAGGCTGAACCACCGAGCCCAGCCAGAACAAAATAATTTTGAGCATGCTGTAGGTGCTTTGCTGACCACTGAAGACAAAACAGTGAACAAAGCAGACTTAATCCTTGCTTACAATCTAGTAGTGGAGATAGACCTTAATCAAATAATCACATAAACAAGACATGAAAGATTGGTGAGTGCTATGAAATAAAGCTTTGCAATACAGTGACAGTATATAACAGGGACATAGGTCAAGGGTGGAGGATTCCAGAATGCTTCCCTGAAGTGACATCTGAGCCAAGGGCTGAAAGATGAGTAGATGAGAACAAGGCGGACGGGAAGATGAAGAGAATTCCAGACAATGGTAATAGCATGTACAAAGGTCCTTGGGTGGGAAGGAGCATGACGCATTTGCAGACCTGATGGGCCAGGATGGTGCAAGAGGAAGCTGGTGAGAGAGGCTGGGCCCACATCTTGCACACGTGTCGATGAGGCAGTGCGGATATTGCAGCGCACAGCATTTTAATGAGCCCAAATGATGAAAACTCCACTGTGTGTCTTGATTTTCCTTAAAACAATGATTGGTATCCCAAATGCCTTGCCTTTGAAATACGGGGCAGGGATTAAACAGCCCTCCAGATATACCAAAATGGCACCCTGATTCTGATGACATGAAGCATCTCAGCCAATCAGTGACAGAGACAGTATTAGACCAGGACTCTTGATTGAAGATGTTCCAGAGATGACCCAGAACAATTACAAGTGGGGAAGTTTGTATTCCTATGTTCCCAGGAACATTCTTTCATCCAATAAGCTGTGTTGAAGTGTACCAAACTATGGGGGTATTTTACTCAGTTTTTCAGCCCTTCATTTCACATATATTTATTGAACACCGCTGTGTGCCAGGCACTGAGGATATCGAACTGAGTAAGGGTGGTCCCTGCCCTCTAGTACCTCGAAATCCTACCGACAATTCATTAGAGATGTATTAGCAAAGTATTCTGGGATCCCTCAGAGCAAGCACAGTAGTGATAGCACAGTAGTGAAAGTCATTGACCACAAAATGGCCTGGGTATCAAGAGCATTGACTTTGAAATCAGGCAGAGCTGGGTCTGGATCCTAAAAGCACAGTTTTCCAGTGGTATAAACCTGAGCTGAACTTTTGGAACCTTTTTGTCTGTAAAAATACTATCAACTTGAAAGAAGATTAAATGAGATAGTTTAACAAATGCTGAGCAAGATGCCAGGCACAGAAATAAGCTCTGTTATTTAAAGAGCAAGCTGGGCGCAGTGGCTCATGCCTATAATTTCAGCGCTTTGGGAGGCAGAGGCGAGAGGATTGCCTGAGTCCAGGGCTTCGAGACCAGCCTGAGCAACTCGGCGAGACCTTGTCTCTACAATAAATAAAATAATTTAGCTAGGTATGGTGGTACTCCTGTAGTTCCCGCTACTTGGAAAGTTGAGGCAGAAGGATTGCCCGAGCCCAGCAAGTCAAGACTGCAGTGGCCAGGAGAGTACCACTACACTCCAGCCTGGGCGGCAGAGTGAGACTCCCATTCAAAAAAAGAGCAGTAGCTGGTCGCTAATGTTAAGTCACTGTGGCAGATGATCTAGACCTGGAGGGGTTGCTGCTTGGTTGAAGAGGATGCTGTATACATGTGAAGGTCACAGGATAACCGCTTTTGTTCCATATGGAAAAAGGCATCTGAGAAACAGCTGGTGTAAAACAAGCAAGTCCTTTTTTTGTGGTGTTTATGTGACCACAGTTATTGACTAAGTTGCTGAGGATTAAAAACGAGATAATACGCGTTGAGGGTTTAGCCCTGTGCCTGGCAAATAATAAGCATTCAATAAATATTAGCTATTGTTGCTATTCTGTTGTTATTCTGGTAAAGAAGCTTTTCAGTGATTGGAATTAGATAAAGCAGGATTAATTTCTCTTTTTGGTGGAGTGAGAGGAGAGTCTTGGCAAATACAACATTCAGCATCAGCTCTTGGGCTAGATGGAGAGGAACTGGGTTAAGGAAAAGGATAGGCCATTGCTAGGCCATTCCCTTGCTAAGCCATGGTGTGGCCATGTGCTCTTTGAATTAAGGCCCCCTCCCCTACCTTGGGGAGGTGAATCTCCTGTTTTTCTCTCTAATTTACTTTCTAAATAAACTATGTTTTGTAATCAAAAAGAAAAGAAAAGGGTGCCTGCCCTCAGAGAGCTTCCAGTCGAATCCTGGAGCCAACTGGCAGCTTTCTGCAGCTATCGCTTTCCTTCCTACAAGTAGGTGATGCCTCACTTCAAAAAGCAAGGGAGTCGCAGAACCTATGTGCGGCGGCTTCACATCTACATTCTGCTAGGAAAGCCAGGGACAGCAGAACCAAAATAGCAGTCATCTGAGAGTTCCACTTTGGGAGGACTTTGGGTTTTTATTTATTTTGCTTCAGTCTTGTGACGGATGATTTTAAATGGAAGCCAACAACAATAATGCTTTTAAAAGCCTCACGCCACCCTCTGTGGCATCCCTTCCGTGTACTTTGACCGGCCAGCGCTGTTTTGTTCTGTCCCAGCCTGACTCCCAGCCCTCAGTCCCGACTGTCCCTGGGCTCTGGTGAGGTGTCCGGTTGCCGAGCCTGCTGCGTCTCTGAAAATTCGCCCCGCATCCCCGCGTTGACAGCCGCTGCAGTGATGGGAGAGAGGCACAAGAAGGGCAGAGCGTCACTGGGTGCCTCTGACACATCAATTAAGACCAAAAAGGAAAAACAGCAAGTCTATTTGTGCTGCCACTGGCCATACTCATGGAAGTCAAATTTTCTCCAATTAACCAGATCTTGGCCTTTTGTAGGCAAGACTTGGTGAGTTGGGGAGGATGGGGCGGAGAGGGAAGTGGCCGGTGCCCTCACCCTGCGTGGAAGGAGGAGGGACGGGTGTTTCTTCCCGGCTTGGCACGCGGGGGGGCGGTGAGGGTCGGAGGGGTGGAGAGGCTGGTGGGGGCGCGGCGTCTGGCCTGTGTCAACCCGGTGAGGTGGGCAGGGGCGTGTCGGGAGTTGGGGGCGGGGCAGGGGTTTGCGAGTGTCCAGAGGACGCGGCGGGCGCGAGTCGCGGCGGGGAGGGGCGTGTCTGGCAGTGGAGGGGGGCAGCGTGTTGGGGGAGGAGCGTGTCCCCGAGTCCCGTGGGGGGAGGGGGGAGG